TCGATATCCTAAGTCCACAACCAAACAAGGAATAGGAAATAAAGTGAGTTATCATTCCTAAGTCCTTTCAACCTTATTTATATAACTATATCTGAATAGACATGATTTTGACAATATATAAGTTTAAAAGATTTTGATAAAGAGTTTAGCATATAAAAGAGTTTGATAAAATGTTTTTGAGTAGTTTGTTTGATAACACGGTTTTGAAGTATAAGAAATCCATTTGTTTGATAGTTATTAATCACATATGATTGATATAATAACTATAATATTTCGACTTGTATCCCCCCCTAAAAGCATTTAAAATCATTTAAAAGGTAAGTTAGGGGTATGAACTCACCTTAGTGAGTGATTCGAATGAAAGATCGATAAAGGATACTCGGTGTAAAGTGAAGTCTCGAGCACAAACGGATCCTAGTAAGCATATAATAACACATATATGTAATATAATTAGTGTATAAAAAACTAATCATGCACCACTGTAAGGACTAGGAAACACTTAGATTGAAGTGTTACAATCACATATGATTGCATCAAAGGGGTTTTTCGGCCACACTAAGATGTGTACGACCAAGATGTGTGCGGCCAAAGTGGTATATGTCCATTGAGTATATGGTCACTGAGTGTACAACCATACACTCATAGAAGAACCATGCAAAAAGGGTGTTTGTGGTCCTATCTTGCATCCATTAAGTGTTCATGATCCTATGTTGGGGCATAAAGTGAGTTTGAGGCCAAAACATGCACTAAACAAGGGTTTACGGCCAAATGAGGAGTGTATGGCCGTACACCCTTGGTGTTCTTGCATTTGATGATGATTCAAGGCTAGGAATCAAGTGTTTCTCAAGCTTAACTAGAAGGTAGAAGATGTACTCACACTTTTGAGGGTTCTTATGGAGTTCACGGCCCAAGAACAAGTGGGTGTTCTTGGTGAAAATGTTGAAGACTTGAAGATCTAACAAAAAAGATAATTTCCTAGATGAAATCATGGATATTCAGTAGATAAAGCAATGTATCAACTAATTAATAGAAGGAATACTTACATTTTTGAAGATCAAGGTGAAAAGCTTGATGATAGTAGAGAGAGAATAGACTTTCTTGACTTGAATGTGTGAAAAGTGAAGGAAAAATAACGATTTGCTTATATATGGGCATGAGTTCACGACGACATTAAGTGTACGACCGTACAATCATGTGTGCGGTCGTGCACTCCTCTTGAAGAAGTATTTGGCTCGAATGAAGTATGCATAACATAAGATAACTCATGCCTAAACCCAAACCTTGAATGTATTAGGCTTAGAACACTCAAACACACCCTAAACAATGCTAAAAGACAACAAAAACGAGTCTGACTTTGATTGAATTGAATGGATGTACAAGATACAAATTCCGGGTTGTCACACATATGGCTGGAGGGTCCTTATAGAAATATAGTCATGATAGGCTACTTATTTGTGTGTGGTATTTTGGGGAACTCACTAAGCTTTGTGCTTACCATGTTGAGTTAAATGTACTTCAGGTACTTCTGTAGACTCCGGGAAGCAGAAAAGAAACGATTGTACACAACTGTCGGCTTATAGAGATTTGAGGATTTTTGGATACTCTGATATTGTTTTGATAATAACTTACAATTTATGTGATGACTAGAATTTATGAGTAATATTTTGAGAATTAAAAATAAAATTTTGTCTTGAATTTTGAAGCGTTACAGTTTCATAATTTTAAGATTGAGCAGAAACACGAGCTGTAAATAAGCGTAATAACCAAGTAAAATATCAATCATCCATAGGAAAAAACGAACCTCATAGCATATATTTGGCGTGGGAACTTTTAGTTGCACAAGAATTAAGGGCTACAAAATTGTAATATATTCAAAGAAATCAACCAAAATGAAGAAAATATAATGGTGTTTATGATAACCCATTAATAATTAGGGTTCTTATGAGAATTTTTTTTAACGTAAAAAAAAATATATCCAGTGATCAATAATCATAGAGGAATCATTAATCGCAGAGGAGGGCTCAAACGTGAGTTGAACGCTTGTCCTTCCAAGTCTATCATCTTTTTTCGATTTCTCCGAATGTTCAATTTTGGATTTTCATCGATTCTCCATAAAATATAGAGAATTATTTTGGTGTAACTCACCACAATTCTCTATAAAATATAGAGAATTAATTACATGGAATAACAATTAGTTTTCTTTCATATTTCTTTATTCTTGCCAATAAAAAATATGAGAAAGCGAACGAATAACATTTCTTATGATAAAGACTTTCATTTTATGTTTTTTTTGTATGTCGTATTATATCATAAAGCATGCATTTTAATGATTTTTCTATTATGTGGCAGAGATACATATGAAATATTAAATATATGGAAGATTACCATAATTAAATCTGAAATGTATTAATTGTATGGAATACTTTTTATACTTAATAGATTACATATATTTCATCCAGAAATATACCCTATAATTAATAAATTTCACATTAATTTAAGATAATATTCTTTATAGTTAATACTTCTTATATGTTCCTTTAACGCATATGTTAGAAAAATTCATTTATTTTGAACCTATAAAAAACGTTTAACTATGAACAAACATATGATAGTTGTTAGTTTTGATGCGGAGAAAACTATGGTTTCATCCACGACAATTCATACTTAATTATTATTTATTACTAAGCATATTAAAACTCTTTGTACTTTTACATAATGTTTATGAAAGAACTTATGTATTGATTAATATATGTTTGTTTTAGAACAACGATAATATATTATAATAAAAATACAATGTGCGGAGCTAATTAACCAATTAGAAAGAGTCCAGAGAGCCAAAAATAAATAAACAAAATCACAAAATAACATATTCATGGCGGAATGAAAAGACCAAACTTGGAGAAGACGACCAAAAAACCAGCAATATCAATAACGATGTAGCAACTCTGAAGTACAGTCGAATGCAATGTGTGTTAGTGTGTGTGAGCCCCACACATACACCAACACATCGACCCTCAAATATCCTATCATTGGATTTTCATTTAAGATTCCCATTAATTTTATATCTTTAAGATTTTCAACTAATACATTTATTTTAGGTATGTTTCTCAAAGATACTATGTTAAAAATGGAAGCCTAGTTCTCTTAGGCATTGCATACTCATCAAAACTAGGATTATCATAACTCATTGTTTCTTCAAATATTAGTTAATAAAGGGAATACGCATAGATAACATTAAATTTGAAAATAAAATAAAAAGCCCTAATCAATTTCGTATGTTTAAGATTGAGCTGAAACATGAATTGTAATAAGCGTAATAACCAAGTAAAATATCAATCATCCATAGGAAAAAACGAATCTCAAAGCATATATTTGGTGAGGTAACTTTCAATTGCACAACAATTGAGAGCTAGAAAATTGTAATAATAATTAGGGTTCTTTTGAGATATTTTTTAACGTAGAAAAAAAATCATATTTGGTGATCAATAATCGTAGAGGAATCAATAATCACAAAGGAGGGTTCAAACGTGAGTTGAACACTTGTCCTTCCAAGTCTATCATTTTTTCTATTTGTTTGTGCGTTCATTTTTGGGTTTTCGTCAATTCTCTATAAAATATAGAAAATTATTTTCGTGGAACTCACCCCAATTCTCTATAAAATATAGAGAATTAATTACATGGAATAACAATTAGTTTTCTTTATTTCTTTATTCTTGTCAATAAACAAATACGAGAAAGCAAATGAATAACATTTTGTATGATAAATACATTCATTTTATGTTTTTTTTTGTATGTGGTATTATATCATAAGCATGCATTTTAATGATTTTCTACAATGAGACATAGATACTCATATGAAACATTAATTATGGGGGAGATTACCCTAACTAAATGAGAAATGTATTAATTGTAGGGAATACTTTATATAATTAATGGATTGCATATATTTCATTGAGGAATATTCCTTAGAATTAATAAATTTCAAATTAATTTTTGTTAATATTTTTTATAATTAATACTTCTTATATGTTATTTTAACGCACATGTTAGAAAAATTCATTTATTTTGAACCTATAAAAACGTTTACTATGAAAAAACATATGATAGTGGTTAGTTTTGGTAAGGAGAAGACTACGGTTTCATCCACGACAATCCATACTTAATTATTATTTATTACATAGCATATTAAAACTCTTTTTTCTTTTTCATGTGGGGAGCTAATTAACCAATTTGAAAGAGTCCAGAGAGCTAAAAATAAATAAACATAATCACAAAATAACATATTCATGGCGGAATGAAAAAGATCAAACTTGAAGAAGACCAAAAACACTACCAATATCAATAACCATGTAGTAACTCTGAACTACAGCCGAATACAATGTGTGTTAGTGTGTGTGGCCCCACACATAGACCAACACATTGACCCTCAAATATTCTATCATTGGATTTTTATTTAAGATTCCTATTAATTTTACATCTTTAAAATTTTCAACTAATACATTTATTCTAGGTATGTTTCTCAAAGATATGATGATATGTTATATGTAATAGGATTACGTGTGTAACAACATTACTTCTTCAAAGTGGAACGGGGCATCTAATGTAAATTTCAAGTTCAGGTAATATCTTAAGTTAAATCTTTATGACAAAATTGCAAGAATGGTTCCTATGGTATGTCCAAAAATGCTACTATGGCTCAAACAGGTTTGGACTAGCACAAATAGTCCAAAAGTTATTATTTTGTTGCGGTTTTGGTCCAATACAGTTTAAAAAATCTAAAAATGACGGATTTGCCCTTTTTCATTTTTTTTTTCTTTTCCTTTTGTTATCTAATTAATTTATAACTAAAAAAATATAAAAAATAAAAGAAAATATTTCTCTCTCTCTCTCTCTCTCTCTCTATCTATCTATCTATCTATCTATCTATCTATCTATCTATCTATCTATCTCTATCTCTTGTGTGATTGTGTTCTTCCCCAAATACATACATACACACACGGATGGAACTCCATTACTGCAACAACCATCTTGATGAAGCACATGATGTTACCAAAGAAGACAAGTACATCGTTGTCGGTTGCTGCCCACAGCCACCGAATTGCCACCCACAACCACCAGTAAGGTAGTGTCACTGTAAACCACTCACACACTCCTCCCTTTTGTTCTTGATTTACCATCTTTCACGTCACTATAAACCACCCTCTCGCCACCTCCCCATCTCTTTCCTTCATGCCGATCTCTCTTCCCCAACGAACCTAAATTTCTATTTTGACCTAGATTTCTTCACCTTCATCTATAAAATTAAACCCAACTTTCTTAATATTCATCTGAAATGGGCAAATCAAAGAAGGTGTGAATAAAAGTTTCATCTATAAAATCAAACCCAAATTTCTATTTTGAAAGCTCTCACCTCCATGCTCTCCCTCTCGTTAAGCTCGTTGGAACAACAAGGATTAAAGCAGCAGAAGCCGTTAGAGCAACCCCTGTCGCCACCGATGCTGCTGTTATGGAACCACCGTTGTTGATTGTTGATGTGGAACGAATCAACAGAAGCCGCCAAAGCTTTCTTCATATTCTTCATATCCTTCATATTCGGTTTCAAATTCTGCAATATTGATAATTAGGGTTTCGTGTTGTTCTATTTCAGATTCAGGTTGTTCGAGTTCAGTGTTCGTGATGGTAGGGGAAAGGACGAAAGGTGCTAGGAAGGGCGACGGTTTTTATTGAGAGTGAATTTTCCTTCGAAGTGAAGGTTTGGGTTTTGAGAAGATGTTTGTAATTTGAAGAATTGATGAATTGGGTCGATGATTGATTCATTTGAGAAGATGTTTGTAATTTGAAGAATTGATGAATTGGGTTGATGATTGATTCATCTTTTTCTACTTCAACTTGTAGGGTTTCTGACTGAGTTATTTTGTTCTTGTTCTTAGGGAAAAGGGATGAAGATGGAAGTGGGTTTTGATTTGGAGGAAAAATAACAGAGATTCTGATGTGTTTTTGATGGAAAGCTCGGCGAGGAAGATGATGGAAGAGAGGGCGTGTTGGCTGTTATCTTGAGAGAGAGAGAGAGAGAAAATATATTTTTTCTTTTATTTTATTTATATATATATATATATATATATATATATATATATATATATATATAGTTATAAAATAATTAAATAACAAGAAGAAAAGCAAAAAACAAATGGAAAAGGGCAAATCCATCATTTTTTAGATTTTTTAAACTGTTTTGGACCAAAATTGCAACAAAATTTTAACTTTTAGACTATTGGTGCTAGTCCAAACCTATTTGGCCCTAAGTAGCATTTTTAGACATACCACATGGACCATTCTTGCAATTTTGTCAATCTTTATCCATCATAAATAGCATTCAACTTTGAAGTTAACGCAACCAATATCATGTTGTTTCTTAAAAAATATCAAGGATGAATACAAATGAAATCTATAAACATGGTCTTCTCTTATCCTACCCTCACCCCACCCCTATTACCCAATACAAGTTGTCAAAAAAGAGGAGCGTCCCTTAAACCACTCGGCCATCTCTCCTACACAATAATTATGACCCAAAAACTAAAATCTAGTGAATAGTGAATTATTCTAGATTATCGGATAGATACAACCAATCAACTCTAATTATAAAGCGATCAAAATCGAAAATTTTTCATATGTATCTTAACATAACCACTCTAGATTTTAGTTTTTTTTGAAACCTGCAGATTTTAGTTTTTACCTTTGTGTTTAACCACCACAAAAAAATGATAATTAAAAATGGTCCACCAATTTTTTTTATTTATTTATTTATTTTTATTTTTTATTTTTAAATAGCGTGTCATTACCTGCCCTTCGCCTAAATAATAATGTCGACGAGAGCAAAAATATGACCTTTTAAGCAACAAATCTGCTCCAGCCCAAGCATCGGCCCAAGCCCAAATTTCCTTCTCAAATGTTAATCCATAAACAAATAAATTATGTTGTCTTCTATGGCATTACGGTAATGCCACCCGATTTTGATTTAGTTGTATAGAAAAAAGAGTTTAATATATTATAAGAATAATTATATATTCAAAAACTTTAAAGACTTGATAAATGAATTAAATAAATAATAAGGATTACTTACATAATGGTTTCATGAGATAAATTAAAATTTAAAAATACTAAGAAATGTTAATATAAATAATTGTTTAACCTATATAGAAGTGTATATTTTAGGTTAGGGACTAAAAGTGTAATCTTAGAAACTTAAAATGTTAACTTTTTGGTCAAGGGATATAATTGTTATTTTGGGACCTTGAGGTGCCAAAAACATAAATCCCTAAAAAGAAGAAAAATGAAGAAGGGAGTCGCATTAAGGAAAGAACGTGAAGAAAGAATGCAACGAGGAAAGAAAGGAGAAAAAGAGAGGAGAAAGGACCCAAAAGAGGAAGACAAATAGAACGTGGGGTAGCATTAAAACTTACAAGTAAGTCTTTCTCTTTCATCTTCTAGCATAAACCACCATGAAACTTATCACAGTAACCTGCAATCGGGCTTGATCTTGCAAGTGATATGAATAACGAGTGAATAATGTGTATGATCACTAAGCTTTACATTTATCCGTTGTTTATTAACCTTTTTAAAACCCTCCAATTTGGAATGAGGAAAGAAACCGATATGATTGCAGACCTGCGTTTGCATTTTCATACTTTATTAGTTATATTGTCCATTATGTACGACATTTATGACTATGTAACTTGGTTTGAGACTTTCGCACTTTTGGTTTATAAAATATTTTTCTTTTGTAAAACGGATATTATGTTTTGATAGTTTTTAACGAAGTGATGTTTTAATGTTTTCTTTATAAATGGTTTTTTTTGTAATAAAAAAGTTGGCCGTTTCATTTACACAAATGACATATAAGGGAAGAAGCATGCGCTCAATTTTGCAAAAAAAAAAAAAAAAAAAAAAAAAAACCATGGACTCGATTTAATAGAGTACGCAAAGTAAAACAATTTTTTTACATGAAGTCAATTCACTAAATAAAGAAGGTTGTGGTCACTGGCGGATCTACATTAGATCTCGTGGTATCCCGGGATATCCCTTAAAAAAAATTTAGTAGTATAAATTTTTCCGAAAAAATTTATTTATTTTGCGTTCCTTAATATAAATGTGTTTTGCGAAAAAATAACAAAAGCTCTAGTTGGTTCAGTTGGTTATGATGACATGATGTTTTCTCGGAGGTTCGAAGTTTGAATCTTGGGCTTGACATATGTTAATTTTTTTGTTTACAACTTTCTATCCTATATCCCTTCAACTTATTTCTTATAATTCTAAAATTGTCCCACATCAGCCATAAAATGAAGTTTCTTTCTTATTTCTTATATTCTAAAATTGTCTCACATCGGCCATAAAATGAAATATAGCCCTTATACATCTATTATATAAGCAGCACAAGATTTTCAATTCTCAACAAGTTAAACCTTTGAATGGGTTTGGGTTTAAACCCGAAACTGAGTATGGAAAACTGAAAAACCGAGAAACCGAACCCATTGGTTCGTGATACCCATTTACGTTGACCCTGGCTCCGCCACTGGTTGTGGTTCAATCAAAGCAACATTTATGGACGATCGAAAAGCTTTTACAGAAAACATCTTTATGAAATCTTCCATACAATCTCGCATGTAAATCCGACAACAAACTGTTGTTTAGCTCCTCTTCTTAAACCTGGTTTTCCATTCTCATTTCCACGAAAATAGAATTTTCTATCACTTCAGTTTTATCCAAATTAAGAAAGTTATTTTTTCTACTTTGAGTAAATATAACCATGGAAATTGTTTTTTTAGAGTTGTATCACCCACTTACACATTGTTTCAAAACATTGTATCGGTGTCATTTCTAATTTACCTTTTGAAGAGCTTTGGAAGATTAACACAAAATTAAATCATATCATGAGTGATATTAAAGTTGTTTGACCAAACTCAAGATGTTCCTAAAAAATTATTGATAGTCTTGTAGTAATCAGTCTAATGCATAATTGCAAGAAAATTTATTGTTGTTACATCAGTTTGTAGCTTTTCATACTTAAGATGTTATTCACAAGTTATTGACAACCTCGTAATAGGTTAATTCTATAATTGCATGATAATTTATTGTTGTTACGTCACTTTGTAGCTTTTTGTTTTTAACATATAGATACCATTTGATAACTGCTTTTTAGTGAGTTATTTGTTACCTTCTAAAACCATTTTATACAAGAGTTTAGGAATATATAGAATATTTTATCCTCAATATGGAAATATAAGAGATTTGGTATGAAATATATAGAGTATGGTTTCTACAAAGGACATTTATCTATGATGTATAGATATAGTAATATACTATTTTATTATGGAAGAGTGTTAGATTAACGTTTCAAAAACATATTTTATAATATATTTTAACAGTAATCTATCTCAAATTTTGTAAAAGTAATAAGAACTCAAAAACTTAAGAAAAATTTATTTGGATAGCCATTAACATACTAGCATATATCATAGATAATTGTATTTCGAAAACCTACATTTTATTTAAAATGTAACTGTTAAGGATAGTTTGCCACTTTTTCACATATGTTGAGTGCACAAGATAAACCATTTAAAACCGCTTATATATTTTTGTTAGATGGTTTATTTAGAGATGAATTCTATATAGGTGAAGAAACTTTTACAACTTCTGACTTTTGTGATGATTCGACTATGATTAATGTTGCTTCTAAGCTAATCGAGTGTTTTTCTGACAAAATGTATTGAATTTGATCAAATTTAGATGCAAAATCTTCATCTTATATAAATAAAATTCTTACACATCTCCAATGATACCATAAAAGGCTTTGAAGAATTTATAAATCCTTCAAGTAGATGTGTAACTTATAAGGATAATGAGAACATATTTTTTTATGGAGAATAAGAGTTACAAATATTTGTAGATGATCTTCATATTTGTATAACTTTTTGATAAATGATATATGTTTTATTAATTAATGGGTATCGAATGTCATTAAAGTAAGGAAAAAGTTAATACAAACTCACAAAAACAAAATAAGGACCGACTAACACTTTACTAAAGACCATATCAAATGGCAACTAATGAAAACATTAAAGCAATTATATTGAAGACTATTTTGTGTATGAGAGAGAGAGAGAGAGAAAGAGATAGAGAGAGCAAACAAAAGAGAGAGAAAGAGGATACATTTACTAAATACCATATCAAATGACAACTAATGAAAACATTAAAGCAGTTATATTGATGACTATTGTGTGTGTGTGAGAGAGAGAGAGAGAGAAATATAGATAGATAGATAGATAGATAGAGAGAGAGCGCAAACAAGAGAGATAAAGAGAACAAATAAGCTCAACCAAAACAAAACGAAGTCTATGAAACCTCAAAAATAAAAGATAAATATGTAACATAACAAGACTCAAATGTAAATATAATAAGCAAGAAGACTTGAAGGAAAGAAAAAAAAAATTAAACCATTACTAATCATGTTATTATCCACATACTATATCCAGACGTTGTAAAACGTGTCGCATTGTATGTTGTATCGTGTTGGATTCATACAGAATCCTTAAGAGTTCTAACTCAAGTATCTAATTTAAT